TCTGCTGAGCCTGAAGAGCAATGGCTGGAAGCCTCTGCTCTCCCCTTGCACTGCCTGCTATAGGAGCACAGGCTGAGTGCAACAGAACCACTCGTGAGAACAGCTGTCAAGTGTGCAAATGGTGGAAAAGAATAAAAGAAAATAAGAAGAATGAAGACTGTACACATTTAGGAGGAGTCTGTTTTTGGAATGAGTGATAGCAAAACTGAGGCTGATCCTAAAACCATTCAGAGGATTATTTTCTTTTCTATTTCTTTATGTGCTTCTTTTAAAGGGGAAACACAACCTCCAGCACACCGGGGTCTCTCCATACCACCATGGCTTGCTCTACGTGTGTCCCTTGGATGTGCAGTGTGACATGCATGGAACCCAAGCGCGCAGCAAGGGGTGAGCGCATGGCTGGCTCCTGCCATTCACCTGCAAGGCATGCAGAGCTCCTGAGCTCAAACAGCTTTGAATTCAAAGCTCCTCTGTCACACAAACTACAAATTGTCTTTCAAGTGCCACGCGTGCACCTCGGCCACTCACACTGTATGTTTAAAGGACACACCTCATTTTGGGGTTCGTGTTACAGAGGTCTCTTAAAAACAATTCTCTTTTTTCCTTACAGAAATTACCATGTCTGGTAATTTAGGCTCAAAACAAACACGTTAAACACATTACAAACTGAAACCAGGCTCTTTGCACTCCCATTACAGCAGCAGGCCAGCTAACCTCATGCATAAACACGCAGATGGTTCATTCTCTTGTTCTATAAACAGGATGCGTTGCACTGAGCAGCGGCATGGCACCTCTGCTTCAGAAATACATTCAGCTTGGCAGGCCCAGGGCAGGGGGAAGGTGTGCACCGCACTGGGAGCAAACATGGGATTAGACACAGTTTAATCACTTACGTGGGGCTGAGCTGATTGCCAGGATCGGAGTGGTACGTGCACAAGCCAGGGTTTGGAAACGGCTGACTGTGCGGCACCTGGCCTGCCCACACTCCATGCAGTGTTTGCATGACCTCAGGAAGGCTGTTGGTCTGTCCTGTCCATCTGCCTTCCCATCAGCAATGGCTGGCTGATGCTTTGCTACGGTGAGTTCTGCTGCCAGAGCTGCTGCTCCCATGCTTTTTAAATAGAGGGTGGGGAATGTGCGGCTCATGTTCTGATGCACCAGCAAAGGGCTCTGCTGTGTGAACATGAACACTTGATAAAGGCCTAGTAGCAAAGGAACAACTGTGGAGAGGAAACAGAGACACGTTCTGGGTATTGTGCTCCCCTTACCCCAGCCTGAGGCATTACTTACCCCTTTCACCCTGGTCACTGACCGTGGGAGGTGAACCACTCAGCCTCTGTCTCTGTTGCCATTGTCGACACAGTGACCTCCTAATACCTGGACAGTGAAGATCCAAAGGGCCCCATTGTCTCTCCCAGCCTGGAGCTCACCTCTCCTCTCTGACTCCACCTCTTTGCTTGGAGGTGCAGGTGCTGCAGGCGAGCAGCCCCACAGGGCACCACTCTGTACACCAGGGCCAGGTCATCCCTGCAGTAAATCAGAGGAAACTTCTGTGATTTAAATCTTCTGGCATATGTTTCCATGTTTAGTGCTGTTTAATGAAAACTGCTTTTCTTGTGTGCCTATGTACACGGACATATTTGGCCATGTTTTTCCAATTACTTTTCACGCAGCAGATCGCATTCAAATGAGACTCTGAGTCTGGAGTGATGGTAGCTAAAAGCACATGGCCTTTTTGCATGCACTTGTGATATGCTAAAAATCTTCTAGTTTTTAACAAAGCCATGTTGTTGATAATTTTCTTCTGCAGAGGAACATTTAGAGGCCTGAAAGTTTGGATAAAGAGGAACTCCCACAGAGTCCCAGACTCAAAAGCATAATATTACCATTACAGAATCACAGAATCACAGAATTGCCAGGGTTGGAAGGGACCTCAAGGATCATGAATCTCCAACCCCCCTGCCACACGCAGGGCCACCAACCATTCCACCTAATGCTAGACCAGACTTCCCAGGGCCCCATCCAACCATTGGTGTACATCAGGTGATTTCTTCAGCATGGCATAGCTTTGCCGTGCGTCTGCCAACGCCAGTGCTTCCAGCACTTGCCTGAAGCACAGCTGGCTGTACACTGAGACCCAGTGTGCACTTTCTACAGGAGATAGATTAGACATAGAACCTTTTTCCACCTCAGCTGGAATTCATGGCAAAGCACAAGTCACGCAGGGAGTCCCAGTGTGCCAAGTGCCCACCAGGATGAAGCCATGCTCATTTCCGTCATCACTTCAGCAACCACAAGGTCTGGAGAAAGCACATGCCATTCATTCCATCCATAGCTATGCACTTGAGGAAGATGGCAAAGCGGTGGCTGATAGCAGTAACACTTATCCATTGGTGAAGATATGATGTCCTTTTTAGATCCATCACTTTTTCTTTCCTCCCTTCCCTCTTTCTTTTCCCCATCAGTCATTGTCTTGCTGTCTTGGCTATGATGAGTGGTTGGACTTTTCCTCTCTAGTGCTGAACTGGGGACTCTGTCCTTGCCATGATTGCACAAACAGCATCATGCCATGCCTTCTACATGCCTTTAGTCAGCACAAATTACCCACTAAGTGCTTGATTCTCCAGCCTTCTGTACGTCATTCAGTGTGAAGCTGCAGCATACGCAGGACTGGTGAGTGGGATCCCATCTATCCCAGCCCAACCTGCCAGCTGGGAGGCACGGAGTGATGCGAGCCTGCTTTCCTTGGAACGTGAGCTGAACAGCAATGTGTGCTTGTTCAAAACAGCTGTGCATTTCAAAGGAAGAAACATTTTTCTGATTGGTTTCAGGTTTATAAGTTTCAAATTCAATCAGAGAAAACATTTCTGGTTCACAAAGCCAGTCTTTCTCAGTCAGCCTCTTCCTCCAGCCACGGGCATTTCCTAAACACCTGTGCACGTGCCACTGCTGATGGGGAGCCAGGATGTGCCCAGCTCCTCCTTCTCCTCCCAGAGGAGCTGCCAGCCCCGCAAGCTTGTCTCAGTGCAGCTCACAGCCCTTTGCCAGCCTCCAGCCCCAGAAAGCACAGAGACAGGGACGCTGGTGAAGCAGTGGGCCCCCAGCCTCTCCCAGCCTACCACATCCCCACTCCCCAAAACTCCCTTCAGCTGTGCCACGTGCCCGGAGCAGGCAGGCACCCTGCTTGTCCTCGCTGTTAGAGCTCAGGGACCTTCTGAAGGCCAGAGCATCTGCTCAGGCTGTGCCATGTTTGTCTGCAAGGAAATGGGATGTTTATGTTTATTCTAATCGATACTGATGGATTACACTTTTGTTCCGTTCAGCAGCTGTTTGGACCATTTTATACCACAAAAGGCGATTAAGATCCAAAGTACTGTAGGGCTGTGTTATGAGTAAGAGCCATTTAATAGCAATAACAACGAATAATAATGTGAAGTATGGCTTTTAGTCATTATTATGTCTAGGGTTAGTTTGTTTTTCATATCTCTAAATGCATACATATGCGTATGTATACACACACACACATATATAAGGAATACACCCATCTGCTGATCTCTTGGAGTAACAGTCTGTTCATCAGGCTGTACAAGTCTGTACCCGCACACGTACTGCGATTAATGGGGATTCCTGAGACAGACGTGTGCATCTGGAGGGCTTCACCTGGCTCAGTGCTTGATGACTGTTCAGGGCCAGCGTGGAGATAGGTCTGAGAAAGACATTTCCCTGGATGTCTGCATATAAATAAATTGCTGCTGACAAGGAGTAAGTATAATAGAGGCTGGTTCCTTGTTATTGGCTAGAGCCATGAAGGAGATAATAGCTGAAAATATGGCTGTAAATGGGAGACGCTCATTTATTTTGCACAAATTCTTTAAAATTAGACCTTATAGGGAACACCAAAACATATGACTATTACATTTAAATGACTGCTTAAATCCAAAGGAAAAAAATCATGTGTTCTTATCCTGTCTGACAGGTGGCTTACTTCTGATCCTACCTCTTAATCTTCTAAGTCATGTTTTCTTTCAAACTCTGTTATTCCATTTTAAAAGGAGATTGGGTTATGTAGGACAATGTATTATGAAGCATAATGCTCACTGCTGGTAAATCAAATATATTATTGAGAAGAAAAAAAAAAAAGAAATTCAGGATCATCGTGTTGACCGCTGATACAAGAAGACACAACCATTTTTAGAGGTCTGGGAGATTGGGGTCAGACAGTCTCAATTTGCAGTCTTCGACGTATATATCATTGTGAACAAGCTGTGAGCTAGAAGATATCCAAAAGATGTGCTCAGGATATCTCTGCTTCTCATGCAGCCCCTTACTTGTGCAGTGGTGTCTGTTGTGCTCCTCCTTGCAGGCACAGGACACTCAGGACACATCTGGGGGGGCTCTGTGTGACATCAGGTCCAATGGGCATTTCTGTGTCTTGGTGGGTGCGTGTCAGTTCATGGCAGATGAGGTATACATGGTCACTACTTGTCAAAGGCCAAACAGAGCTAAACAAAGAGCTCCAAGAAATGATTATGATGAGCTCACCCGAGGGCTTCTTCTCCCTTAAACCCCATCTCCCCCTCTCCTCCCAGCCAGTGCTGCTGCAAAGGAGAGCATGCTATTGAGGTACGCCCACCATGACTGCAGTTTAGAGACAAAACTGGGAGCAGATGCTCCTTGGCTTATAGTGAGTCCTCCAGAGTCCAAGAATATCCATTTAAGGAGACAGAAAGAGGCATGCTAACATTGTTCCATTAGTGGTTCATAACATTTTTTGTCTACTGCGAGGCAAGCATGAATAAAAAAGAAATTCCCTTGTGTGTGGGAACTGTTGAGTCATGGCCTGAATCCTGATTGAGCACCTGGGGAAAGGCCCCATCAGCCCTGGGAGCACAGGTGAAGGCAATTCAGCTGTGTGACAGGAAGGGGTCTCCACCTCTCTTAGACCTCATTGAAAGGCTGACCCCCACTGGGGAAGGATCTCTTTCTGGAGATCTCTTCTTGGTGAAGCTTTCCCTTGTGAACCTGGAATCTTCTGATATGGGTGAGCAATCTTCTTCCCTTCCTTTATAGCACCTTTCTGTTGTGCTGGTCCCTCCATCGTCACATCTCTGTTGTAATGCCTTCCCCACTGTGTTGATCTGTCCTATTGCTAAACCTGGCTGCATGGGTTTTATGGATTTATTTCTCCCCCTGCTCCTCATTTAATAAACTAAGATTGTTAAAACTCAGGGAAAAGTATTTCATGAGGCTTCTGTTGGGTAATGATTGAATTGGTGTTATTGAATGAGAATGATAGAGGAGGAAGATCAGGAATAGACTAGGAATGGCTGTTTTGCTATCTAGTTGGGTGAGGTACCAGTTAATTAGACCTGCCAAAGAACTGGGAGAGGGGGATTACCTGCATTCTGTGTCAACAGTCATATTAATGTTCCTTAATGCTTTACAGAGAGGCTGGAGGAAGGTTTGAGCAGCAAGCACTGTGCAGACCTCCAATATCAATAGCACGAGGCAGACAGTAAATGATTTTTTTTTTGACAGCAAATGCAGAATCTGTGGAAACAAAATGTGCTCTTTACATCCCCAGTAATTTCCACAGGTGTGGTAGGATAACTAACCTCTGATTACCTGAAAATCTGTGCCCTTTCTCACTGTGGCCTGTCTTAGCCCATACTAACAGCCTCTCACCTCGTGGTCCCAGCCTGCAAATGAGGAGCCTGTGAGTATTCTTCCATTCACCTTTCCCAATCAATCTTAGCTTTTTAATTTTATTTGTAAATTTCCCTCTGCCCATGACATAATGTTCCTGTGACAATCACAGAGATTGCATGTGCCTCCCACTTACGGGCTGTTTTGACATTACCAAAGTATGGGGCACTTCATAATAGAAACAATAGGAAAGATTTATGTGAATTTTTTGTGGATGTTTGATTCTTAAAACATGCATTACCCCATTACATGTGAGATTTATCTGTGTGCTTTGTGTCTCTCCTTTCTCCCAGCAGAAGGGTGACCACCTGGGTGGTGGCCAATTACAGTGCATGGGATGGGTCTTGAGAGAGGTGTGGAGCTGCAGTAAGGCCTGGAACTGATATTAATTACTTTTCTGTCATTAAGCATCGCAGCTTTTCTTAAGCTTCTAAGCTATGTTCTATGTCAAAAAGGTAAATCACCGTGTACCTTAGTGGGCTTTGGATCAAGGAGGCTGCCAGCCACATGGCTCTTGCTATCCCAAAATGGGACACTCTGATGTTGTTTATTCCTTGTATGCTGCTGTATCCAGTTGAAGCATACTGAAAATAAGCATCAGAGTTTCTTAACTGATGTTAATTGTTCAGATTATATTTGTAACCCTGTGCAGATGATGGAGAATCACAATGTTCTGGGTGATTTATCTTTTCATTTTACGCTAGACGTAGCTTGGAAGCTTAAGAAAAGCAATGGTGCTTACAATCACACATAACAAATTGCTGAGTGGGGTCACTTTCTTGGGAAATTTGTGGTTAATTCAGATTTCTTCCAGTGTTGGAGGCTGGTGGCCTAAGGAGCAGCCAGCACCTTCCTGAAAAAGGATCAAGTAGAAAGTTGCAGCCATAGATCAGGTGAAGAATTATCGAGCATCCAGACTTCTCTGGATGCTAGAGGGGGAAAAATCAGTGGTTCTCAGATGACTCTCTGATAGACAAGCCGTGGTGAACGAGTCTGGTAATGAAATGGTGTCTTGGAGAAACTGAGGTGTTTAGGTAGAGGAAAAGAAAAGTTTCTTTTGTCTCAAGAGCAGAAAAAAGTCACCTCGCTTGATGAAGGCTTAATCCCTGCAGATGGTCTGAAGCCACAGCATCTTTGTTCTCTCCATGCTAGCATCTGTTGAAAAGTTGTCATCACTGCTTATGCCAAATGCTGGATGGGGAACAATTTGTGTAAATCCTGCTCAAAATAACAAGCTCGTTAATAGCTTATATTCTCCACAAGCAGCCAAGGTACACTTAGCCATGACAGTTTTCTTTCAGTGGACTTTGAGGTATTATCAGCTGTGACAGTGTAGAGTGGGTGGAATGTGGGGAACAAAAGCCCCACACAAAGGAGGCACTTTAGGTCTGGGTTCCTCTGCTTCCTAGAGGCCACACAGTGCTGAGCTACAGTGAGATTCTTTTCTCTAATTAATATTTCATTCTCTGGGAGAGTTTTGAGTTATCCCTTGAGATATGTTAAAGGTTTGCACATTTTTAAGGAAAAGAAACAAGGCTGCTGAACTTGAATTAAGAAAGTATGTTGAAAGGAACTGCTACAGCCTGTAACTTTGGGCAAGGGACATGTAAAACCATACAGCATTAGTGCACTTTTCATTGTACTACTAGTTCTATGTCCTGTTTTACGGTCTGCTCTAATAAAGTCATGCTTAAATGCTGCTAGGAACCATTCACCCCTTTTACCCTTTTTACCTCCCCTGGACTGAGGCATCTGATACTTCATGTTCTGTGGAGGTGTTTGTTTTCTACACTGACCCACCAAAATATTTTATGACAGCATTAAAACGAAGTGGCTGTGTGGTTAGAATTGCTGAGTTTAGCAAGGAAGGTGAAAGAATGGCTGCTGGAGGAGAACTGCTACCACCAGCAAGTGCAGGGAGTCCAACTAGGGCAGGCTGACAGGTCATCCAGGCTCCACAGTGTTTAGCTGTAGGAGCCATGGGAGTGGTGCTGTATGCCCTTACAGATGTGGTAAATTGGGCACTGCAGTAACAGAATGACATCAGTCATTACCAGCAAGGCTGTAACCACACAGGTAGCTAAAAGGTGAAACCGAGCCACTTGTCATGGGCCTCACCTTTCAGGTGCTCTGTCCCAGGGACCAGGGAAGAGAAAGGCCACTTAGTGCAGGGCTCCAGCTGTGTGTAGAAGCTGAGCTGCTCCATCCAGTGGCTTTTTGTTCCCTTCACCAAGGGCTGTTGTGAGGCAGCAGTCTCCTAATCCAGCTGTTATTCCTCAGGATACAGCTTGTATCCTGAGCAAAGTAATTACAGATCTAGCCTTGCAAACTGGAGGTACAGTAAGAAAAATGATGCCGCTATGTTTTGAGAGGTTTACCTATGGGCTTATCAGACACCATTTTAAGAAAGCCCTCCCTGGCTGCGTGCAGAGAGAGAGGCCCTTAATCTATCTAATGGCTCCCATGGCATTGATATACCATCTCTTTCATTGTTGTGTTAAGCACCTCTCAAACATCCTGCTTGTGCATCACTGGGTGGTGTTATCCCAGCACGTTATGGCTGGTGGCACACCTAGGTTAGAAGGGGTGCTGTGGTGTTCCAGGAGAAACAGATTAATTATTGTTGTCAGTCCACCATGAAGACCTGTAGAGTCTCCCCTGTTTGAGGAGCCATGCAGTATTACAGTTCACTGGTCTTAAGGGACAGGGGGCTTTGTGAGGCTGTGAGCAGAGCTGTGGCCCCAGCAGGACTCTGGCCCTCCCTCAGCTCGTGGCAAGGTGTGATGGCAAACACTGGGGTATGAGCTGCACAGCTTGTGCTGCAGCTCAGTGTATGGAACTGAACCAAGACGGTCCAGTGACCTCTGGAAGGAAGGGTGCATCATGCTTTCCTCTGGCTGCCAAAGAAAGCTTTTGAAAGAGTAAATGAAAGAGTAGTGTAAACACAAGGCCTTTTAAGACGTATCTCCTTGTCACTTAAGTGAGTGCTAATTATTAATTTGATGAAGTTGAATGTGAAAGCAAGACTGCAGGGCTCACTCTTCAGGAGATTTCCTTTGCATATGGTCTGCAAGCGAAGGGAGAGCCAAAGGAAGGCGAGCTTGGGCTGGCAGCTCCAGGTTTGGAGCAGTGGCCATGGAGCCAAATGTTTGGTAAATACAGTTAGCTGGGGGAAAGAAGTATGTGAAGTTTGACAGAACAGTGACATAAAAATGAGCCTCAAAGTTCATCTTCATGGCAGACTGAGAACAGGGAGATCTTAATTAATTATAATTATTACACTTTTAAGAGAAGAGGAGAAGCAGACTTTCTCTCATGATATACAGAGAACAACTTCAAAACTGTTTACACAAATGCTGTGAATTCTGCAGGGTGGGTACTACAAATCCATGTCAGATGTTAATGGAAAGAACGGCTTTTGTCTTGCAGGATGGCAGCGTGCCACTGTTGAAGTAACAAGCACACTCACTGTGGTGTGCTCAGAGCTGCTGGGGCTGGAGATGAAAGATGAACATAAATCAGCCAGCCTGATGTGGGGCTGTGCCTGCTGCCAGTTTGTAAATGATTCCTGTCAGTTTCAAGCCAGAAAGTGCAGAAACCTGAATGCTATTAGGAATTGTTCAGCTGGAGCATCCAGCAGCCTCTCTATGTCTTTGTGTACAGAAATTGCCTCCTGGGTAATGCCATCCTTTGCATGCTGAGCATTGAATCAACAGATGTCCAGTTTCCGTCGCTGTAGAAGTAAAATCTACTGCAGAAATCTTTCCTGCAGGTAGCTCCACATTGGTGAAGCGAGCCAGGAATATTTCACCTGACTGCAAAAGTGTCAAACACAGCATCCACTAAGCACAGTGCTGCTATCACTGCTGCTAGATGTCCTCAGACAACCTTGTCAGAATAAATGTGGATGCACAGGTGCACTCTGTGGCCTCAGATGGCTGTGTGGAGATCCAGGTGTGCCTTGCTGTGTGTAGAGCTGGAAGATGGGAGGAATAGGATCACTACACAGTCATCTTGCAGTGTTGGTTTGGGGCAGCATTTGCTCAGCACAGAACAAGGCAAAGGGAGATGGGATGGTCTGGGGCCCATGAAGGTACTGCATGCAGCCTGCAGATGAACAGGCTTTACCTCTGTTGTGAGGGTGAGACTGCTGTGTGGATGGGAAGCACCAAGTCAGTCAGATGGTGAAGCAGGCCTGATCCCGTTATCCAGCATGTGCTCTACTTTTATGTATTATAACTGTGTAGGAGAACAGGTTAAATGCAGAGCTGTCTGGAGTTTGCTGCTAAGAAGTGAAGGAGGTGCCTGGGAATGGTGCCACCTGCACAGGGTCAGCAGCCCACCTGCAGAGACAGAGATGCTGCTGCCATAGCATTCACAGTGAAAGCCAGGGTAGATCTGCACATCCCACCCTGACAGGTGATGTATAAGCATATGGCTGGAGGAAATGGACTATTTGGGGTGTAGAGGAAGGGCTACACATGCACAGGCAAAGGGAAGAGATCTGGTGTGGCTGGACAAGATCATCAACTAGCAAGAGAAGATATCAGTGATGATTTTTAACAAACCATTAAATGGTTGCCTTAGAGACAAGATTGAAAAAGCCTCGACTGACCCAGAGGAGAAGGGCAAGAAGTCCCCAACAGGCCAGCAAAGCAGTCCTGTCAGCATGAAATTACCCAAAGAGGAAAACAACTCTGCACCAGCATGCCAGGTTCCTTTCACCTGCTAGGATATCACTTGTTTCTGAAGCTGCATGGACTGACTCAGAGCCTTGCGGCGGTCTCCTGGGGCTGCTGGGAGTGGTGCACTTGGGTGCACTTGCACCGAGACGCGGGACATCCTCAGCCGCGCTGCAAGAAACCAGGTAAGCAGGCAGCGTGTCACCGAGCCTGCAGAGGCGCTCGGCGTTTTGTTGCACCAGGTCCTTACGGGCTGTGGTTGTTTCTGAACTGTGAACTCCCCCAGCTGGCGAACGTGTGCTATTACCATGAGCCACCTTAACCTCGTGTTCAAAATGTCGCTGTGAGGACATGCTGCAAGAAGGTCCCAGAAACTCAGCAGGCTATCCAAGGCATTGCTGTTTTGGTCTGTGAATTTGTAAGGAGCTGATGGCCAACGTGTGGCCTTCTCTGCTGAAAGAGAGAATGAGAGAATCAGAATTGCTGCCTCTCTTGGTGCTTTCATCGAGGTGCTGGTGCCCTACTCCCTGCAGGAACATTCCCTGGGTCCCTGTGTATACTTGCCATGCTATCCTTGTCCAAAAGTCATTCTAACCCTCAGCTGAAAGTAACTTTTCAGCTTTCCTTCAGATCACTCAATTTAGTTGAATTCACAGAGCCATGCCCTGGAATCCACTACCTTAACCCACCCATCACGTGTCACCTCTGGTTGCCTGGTTTGAACACTGACAGCATCTAGCTGGGATCAGTTTTGCATATAGTATCTGACAATCATGCACGTGGCCTTGGGACAGACAGGCAAAATCTGCCCAAGAAGAAGTCATCAGCAAACAGTACACTTGGCCTGCTGTTTTTCTTAAGGAATTACAATGAAAGTTCATCAAGAGGCACCTGTTTGTTTGAAGAGATGCAGCTAGTGAAAAGAACCATGTTATCCTCTCATTGTCATCTATGTCATGGGGTTGAAGCCACAGTATCTAAGCAGAGGACTTTGCAACACAAACCTTGAGCCTTCTGGGGCTGCCATAATGCATAATGGATAGTTCTCTGCAGGTCACAGGCAGTTCCTTTCACTGTTCTCGTAGTGTGGGCCAAGAATGATGGAGCAGCCTGGGTGCGGTGGATGCGAACAGCCTTGTGTAAAGAAAGAGAACTGCAGAAGCAGCAATGGTTGCATGTTACAATGGCATCACGTTCAGTCTTTTGTGATAAGGGAGGAGTACATGGGAAACAGCACCACTGACAGGAGGGTCAATCTGGACAAATGGCTCAAAGTATGCGAGTTATCTGACCTTTCAGTAGGTGAAAAGGCAAAGCTGCAGCATCTGGTGGCCTCCAAGAGGGGAAGAGGAAGCAGGGAGTACTGAGTGTGTATGTCTGCCTGAGGAAGGCAAATGATGTGGGTAGAGGACAGACATGTCTGGGTGGACCACAGTGTGTGTCATAACTCTAAACCAAGTAGCTGCCCCTGAGGGTTGGGTAGGGTGAGGGAGGAGACAAGACCACATCTGGAGGTGGTGGCTGGAACTGCTGCAAGCAGACCAGGCGCTGACTTAGTGCTGGGGTATGTTTGCAAAGGGTCAGCACACAGCTCCCCAGTGACTGCTTGCACTGAGAGCAGCAGAACAGGGCAGACACCACTCGGAGCCTCTCGCCCTGCCCTGCACCCTTCCACCGAGCCCACACACTGCCCCTCGCCGACCCCACAAAAAGGCCAGGCTCAGGCAGTTGTATACAAAACCTGAAATAGTTTACTTTGCTTTCTCTTTTTTTTTTTTCCTTTTTTTTTTTTTTCTTCTTTAAACTTTGCTCTAGGTTTACTTAGATTTCGTGAACTCGATACAAGAGCATTTGATATGAATTGGTAAATAAAACACCGTCATAGATAGATAGCCACGATAAACTTTGTTAGAAATGTACATGTCGCGAAAAAATAATAATACTAATAATAATAATCATAATAAAAAAAGCCGGCGTGACGCCCAGGCCAGCATGGCCCTGATGGCCGTGGGCTGCGGGTGGCTCTGGTTCCCCGCGGGCGCCGCGCCCCAGTAATGTGTGTATATAAACAAAGCCCATAAGAAATGTACAAATATAAAAAGCTACAAACATTAATAAATTACATCGTCACAAAACACGGAAACACTCCACAAGGTGCTAGTAAAATAACTGTCTCCCTCCTCGTACAAGAAGTTACGCAAAGAGCTGGTAAGGGCCGCTGCTATGGGCAGCGCCCGGAGAGACTTTCCCCTTATAAAAAACAGGTGGTCATTATTCCAAAAGCTATGTACAAGCTACATTCTAGGAAAAGGATGCCTCGGGAAACGCATCAACATGGCACGGCCGGGGGGGGAACGCGCCCAGTGCCCCCAGTCCCCCACCACACTCCGTCCCCGACCCCTCGCTGTCCTCACCACCGTGGGCCGGGTGCTCTCTCACCTCCCGGCGCGCTCAGCGCCGTGGGGCCAGGCGAGGATTAACTTTTTGCGGACTAGTCACTCTCAGCACTCTGAGAAAGGACATCTATATTAAAAAATATTTATAGCAGGATTCTGTACACTCCGACCGCCGAAAGTTAAGAGGGTTGTTATCGTTGTGCTCCAAGTCAGGTGGAGCTAAAGGAGCAGCTTCCCATTCCGGTGGATCTTCAGGATCTTGCCGAGCCGCTGCTTGGCCGTGGCCATCCCCTTCTTCGTGCGCTTTCCTGCAGGGAGAGTGGCAGTGGTGAGCCCCAGGCTGGCTCTTGCCCCATGCCATCCCCCAGCAGCGAGCCCTCAGCCCCACACCACCACCTTCCCGACTGCATCCCTACCCCAGCATCTCCAGGAGACCACAGCTGTCCCTCGAACTTGAGGGCTCTCCCACAACCATCCCAAACCCAGACGTGCCTCAGAGGGGAGCACAGTGTCTTGCCAATCAGCACCACCATAGCCAGGGCAGGTCCCACTGCATACCTGGGGCACCAACTGCCTCCACAGTGCCAGCCCTGCCGTGCTGCGCCCATACCCAGCCCTGAGTCTGCACACACCCCAGCTCAAGGGGTGCCGCAGCGTGACCGCCCAGCCCCAGTCACTCCAGCAACGTCTCATGCCTCAGAGCTCACCAGAGCAGTACCTCTGTGTAGGTATTGCTGCGCATAGAGGCACCCGGCCGGCTGTCAAACACCGCCTACTTTCACCATACATACATGCAGGCACCTCCAGGATCTCTGAACACCTCTCCACTATTTCACACATCCTCAAGGGAGAATCTGATGCACAGGGCACAGCTTGCATGCCACCTCACTGACACAACCATCGTGCTTTCCCTGCCCTCTCTTTCCCTAGCGCTACAAACACCACCTGCAGTCAGCCCAGTCAGAAAGCCACTGGATGCATACACACGTGCACACACACACACATTCGGATTCAGGTTAGCACCAATGTACTACAAGGCACTCAGAGTGGACAACCTGCCCTTTCTCAACAAGAATGTGCTTCTACAGTCACTGACAGTACTGAAAGGCAATTTATAATTTCTTCATTTTTCATCCTTTTGCCTCATTCTCAATCATCTCTGCTCTCTGAAGTGGTTTGAGAGCTCCCTGATTCTGCTTCATTCCATCATCCCTTCATTACTGATGATACCCAGCCTGGAACTCCCTGTATTCCATGCAAGAGAGACAGCTTGATGTCCGCTTGGTGGCCCCAGCTGTCTCAAGACCCTGCACTGGCGGTTCTGAAAGTGCTCCTCTCCCTGTATGGTTGGGTATGCACTTCTGACACATGGTTCCTTCCCTCCTTTGAGGATCGAGCTATGCCATGGGCAAGGATTGTTCCACATGCCCATACAAGCTCTCTCCACGATGCCCTGGCTGGGTCGCCCAACTCACTGGCCTGACTGGGGTTTGGCTCCATTCAGCACTTCTCTTCCCACCACTTCTTCCACGGACCTCTTGAACCTTCATGACACCATTTCACCACAAAGACACAATTCCAGGCAAGAATTTTCACTTCATTCCAGTTCTGTAGAGAGCCACAGGTGTTGCCAGCTCCTGGAAGGGCCCTAGAGTCTACCATGGGCACATCCTCCTATATGGCCTGTGATGTTTTACCGGTTGGCACCCCTCCAAGGGGCTGCAGGACACCTCACACTATCTCTAATTTGCTCCACTCACATACAGAAGAACACTGGAAACAACTGCCACATAGCCTCACTTTTTACAGTAAGTCGCTCCTGTGGGATCGCACACTTGATCTTCATCATACACAGTGCACTTGACTGGAGATCCTGCCTGTCCCACACACCTGCCTTTATTGTGCTTTGTCAGCAAAATTCAAGCAAGGAACAGGAGGTCCAAGCCCAGGCCCCACACAGCTCCTAGACAGGCTTTTTAATGCTTTCCCTACAGCCGATAACAAGCGATCTCTTCCTCTCTTGGTTCTGGTTGTGTGGTTGGGTAACTCCCAAGGCTTGACATTCCTCTGCTCCCTTGTTGCAGCTCTCAGGACAGCTTTGCAGATTCTCACTGCTCTACACTTGCCAGGCAGAATGTCCTTATTTACACCTCTGCATAGCTACTGCACAAAAAGAAGCCTAAAACAGCAGTGCCTGGCACAGCCCTGAGCACAACAGCCTTCATGGATGCCTCCTTCCCTTCTCAAGGCTTCACCAGACAGGCTGGACTGTGATGTGACCACTGCATGTCCTCCTCAGAAAGCCCAGGGCACGCTCAGAATATTTCCTAGCATAGGATGCCTCACAGTCTACAACAGCAAATGCCAGGCAGCAAAGCACATATTTAGGCCCACGCTTCCAGGGCAGCCAAGGCTATGGGTCAAATCTCCAACCAGGTTTGTCCTACCAAAACAATTCCACAGACCCATGACAGACACCACACATGAAGGCCCTGCAAAGGGTACGGATTATAAGACCAAATCACCCTTCCCCATTCCTACACCATAACCCCAGGCGTTTCCTGGTACCTTTGGCGGAGGCATTGTTCTGCGAGGATGATGAGGGTCTCCTCTGTGTGAGGAAAACACCGGGTGCCATCGGCTGCGATCCCCTGTTAGGCTGGGCGGCCCCAAAGGTGCTGGCCCCTGCGGTGTACTCGTGATCTGTGAGGCTGCTGGCTTGTGACTCCAGCTTCGGCTCTGGTGAGCTGCCTTCCTGAGCTGGTTTGTTCGCGTTGTTGGTTGACAGCTTCTTTTTGGTATTTTTTTTCTTCTTGCCTTTTTGTTCCTCCTTTAAAATGACAAACATGAAGCTCAGATTAATCCTCAGAAGACCTTTAGCTATGGCAAGGGCCAGTGGCGTTGCTTAGGGTCCTCATACAATGAAAAACAACGAAGTTTGCCACGTACAAACTGCTCAGAGTCTGTTCCGATACCATCTCGCTCCCAGCTCTCTGCCACATGCACACGCTGCCTTCCTTGCATCTACGTATGCGCCTTGTGCAGAGCCTCCTTGCTTGTTAACTCTCAGTGCACTGTGGTGAGAGGGAGCCAGCCAGCACCAAAATGACCCTGCCTTGGGAGACCAGCGTGGTTTTGAATGAGCAAACCTTTCCATGTTCCGCATACACTGGCATCTCCTATCTTCAGGTATCTTCATATGCTTTCGTAATAGAAGGACATTAAACACCCCACTTATTCACAGAAGCTGCTTCTTGATAAGGTAGCACCTCTAGCTGCACCTACACACACAGTGAGCAAAGCGGTCTGTCACTGTCCTGTTTCCCTCAGCTACCTACAAGTCCACTTCCCGACAAAGTGCCTCTTCCCAACAGCACCCACCACAAAAGCACAGTGCCACCAAATGCCACAACTCCAGCAGCTCCCCAACCTGCCTCCAGCAGACCTCGTACTTTGTGGTGTCACATTTGTCGGGTCAGTGTGCGTGAGGCACTCAGCACCTACCTGACCCCTCCAGAGACCAAAGGATACTTTTCTACAGCCAGAAGTGCCTCAATACGTTTGCTAAACTGATGATAGCTGCCCTTGGTTAACCAAAGCTTTGGGAGTAAGCCCTAATGCTCCCCAACAGCCAATTTACACAGGCAAGGCAATCACACCACCCAGACTTCCAGCACACCAATATGCCACTCATGCGCTCTCCTTTAGGGGATCCTGCTTCTATCTCTAGCCTGCAAGAACGCAGGTAGATATGCATGCTCTCTGCATGCCCAACAGACTTCTTGCTCTGCACCATGTAATTGTCAGCTATGTATGGTGCAACACTGCTGGATTTTCCTCCTGTTTATTTACCTTGAGACTGATAAGCCTTGCCAAACTGGCACAAATAAACCCCAAGAAGGGCTGGCACTGCTCTGGTGTTTGGGCATGACTGCAGCTTTCATTTCCTCACCTGCTGTGACAACTTCGCAGCTGCAGCGGCGAGGCCGGTTTCAATGGAGGCGACCCTTGTTCCCTCTCGCACCGGTCTGTCTTGCCGAGGCACTGAGGGGCCGACTCGTGCTGCAAGGAAAGCAATCAGAGGTGAGGCAGAGCAGAGTGCCCACGTGAGCTGCATAACCACGCACTGGGCAGCGGGACTGCCCTCCTGAGCAGGAGATGGACGTGCAATGTCACAAGCTAAGACATGGGCCGCTTGTCACACAGCGAGCTGTGGAGAATCTTTCATTAGTGGCCACTGCAAAG